CGTAGCCTTTGCAAGGGAGGAAAGCACTCTGGAGAGGAGCAACTTTCAGCAAAGTTATTACCATTTCAAAACAAAGATACATACATCAAGCATGAGGGGGGTACATCCTTTCAAGTCTTCAAGGAGATGTTCATTACAATGAGCACGTACACAGTTGGACAACATGACCCTGGCATCGTAGGAAGGGACACATTCATTCTTATCTTTCAAATGTGCTGACATCATAAGAAGGGAGGCATTAATTCTTATCTTCAATGAGTACATTCTTTATTTTAGGGTAATGATTAAAGCAGATGTACAACGTATGTTTGATAGGCTGTAAGTCAGGCTACTTTGGTTCAAATAAAAATCAGGCCAAGTCAAGTTCAAACCAGAAGGGCTTCCCCATGTACTTTAACATAAAAATATTTTCTTTTCAGGGGAGAGGTGCCATATACATGTAAAAGGAGTGCTTGAAAAATACGGTATAGTATCAAACTAGAATTGGAGATATCAACTTGAGCTCATGTATTTAAATGTATAAATTGAAATTTATATATTATATATCAACATTTATACTGTTCCCATCCCCCATTCTTTCTGTCCCCCTCTTGGCCTCTCTCCTATGGCTAGTCATTTTCTTAGTTTATCAGTTTCTAGTTTCTACTACCTGTGTTTCTTTTACATAGATTTCCTACCTGCATCCTCTGAGATCATTTAGCAGCCTTGAAAGAAATTAACACACTTAATGTCAAATTATTCTCTACCATTCTCCCCTAAAAGGGAAAAACATTACTTATAAAAAAGATGATTCCCAGCTGGGGCCAAGGCATGACAAGATTATCCAAGAAAATTTTTGTGAGCCTGAGAGTAAAAAGTGCTCAACAAATCATGGGGACATCAAGCCAGCTCAAGGGGCTCCCACTGGCCAAATCTGGAATAATTTGATCTTTAAAATGAATAAAACTAGGAATAGATTATGTCTCAAGTAAATAAGAATCCATGAGTCTATAATAATATAAATAAATTGATGAAAAAACAAACGCTTTAGGGCTGATGGACAGTTCCTTCTTATAGGAGAGTACAACTGGTAAACATAGAAGAAATGATAGAATTAGAAAATATCCATTTGGCCATGACATTTGCAATAATTTTTCCTATAAGAATCCCAATAGATGTTAAATACAATGAGTGAAATTTTAATATGAATAAAGTTATGGTAATATAGTCTGAAAATCTCTACCAAAATGACACTTATTATAAGGTTTAGCAAGATAACTTTACAGTAGAGAACATGGCACACACCACCTTAACCAACTGATCAAGGACAAAATCACTAGTAATTGGAAAAATTGATATCATGTGCCTTCTGATAATACGCACTGTGGTAGACATGCTGAAAACCTAAGCCTGAAATATACATAAATACTTAACTAAACAGTGTGAAACGTTAACCATTGTGCAAATACGGCTGAAGTGTGTGTAGGAATACTTTGCCTCATTTTTACAACCTTTCTATAAGTCTGAAATAATTTCAAAATAAAAAGGTAAAAAATCCTTTGTCTCAGCTGGAACCAGGCCCCAAAAGGAAGGAGTTCAGGGCATTGCTGGCATTGGGACACCATCTCCTGGGACTTCAGTCTATCTGACTCCCGGACACGCAGCTCCCCAAAGGACTATTAGAAATTAGCCGGAAGTTTAGGGACTTGGTTTCAGTTGTCTCTCTGGTAATTAAAACATTATCTTTTTCCTCATTTCTCTGGAGCTGGTTAAGGAATATGAAAGTGCTGAGGCCGCAGATATTTCTTCTTTTTGTCTGGAGACTGAGTCACCTGAAGAGAAGCTGAAGATTTGGGCAACAGCCTGGAAAAGAAGGTGTCTGAGGTCACCAACAATGAGCACAGGTCAGCGGGAGCAGGAAATCTATACCTGGCGATGGATCTGCCTGTGTGCTTGTGGGTTTGTGTGCCTTTGTGTTCACGAGTGTGTGTCTGCATGTATTATGTGTGCTTTTGTTCATGTCATTTGATAGTTGCATGCCTGTGTGTGTACTCTGTATCTGACTCACAGCCTGATTCTTTTCCTGAGTTAGACCCAATCTGGGCTCTGTTTTAGTGCATGTAAACTATGTTATCAGCATCCTACCGTATGATTAGTGGCCCCTAATTATGCCCGTGATTTAAAATATTTGCCTCCTATTGTTATGATGGCACATTTTCCCCACTGGGTGGGCGTCACAGCTGAGTGGATGAAAACTCAGCATCAGGAGTGAGATTGTCGTCTCTGCTGCTGGAGAAGAAGATGCCAAACCTCACCAAGGAACCAAGGTCAGAGAGGGCTCAAACCTCTGCTCAGCAGGGTGCAAGCGTATGTGCAGCTTGTGTTTGTGGATGACACACTTGTGAGTGAGAGCAGGAAAGTGTATTGTTTAATATTTTCTGTGTGTATGTTGCTATGTGTATGTTAATACCTGCATGAGTTGTTCATGGTGGTTTAATGACTGTGTCTATGACTGAATAGGCTTAACAAACCCAGGCTGACTGCCTTCCTCGGGTAGAATGTGGGTTAGAAGGGACCAAAGCATGCCTCTCAGTAATGGAAATGTGTGTGCTGCTTCTTGTGCTGAGACCGTGTCTTGGTGTGGATGTGTGTTTTTTGGGTGTGCCTCTTGTGAGAATTTGAATCGTGTGTGGCCTTATGTGTTTTTGGTGATGTGAGTGTATAGTGATGAGTTATGTATATGTGGTGAGTTGAGTGTTTATCAGATGTGTCACGTGATGAGTGTGTTAATGTGAGTTGTAAGTATGCTTGTCGGCGAATGGTACATCATTGTGTTGTGTATGTCTCACTTTGCTTATTTATGATTTGTATATATGTATGAGTGTTTATGAACAGAACCACAAAATGGCCTTCCTTCCCTTAGAATGGGAACTGGTCACCGGTAACTGGAATCCTCAAATCAACAGTGGGTTTGTGTGTGTGTGAGTGTGTGAGTGATTTGTATGTGTGCTTGGGGCTTTGGATGTTACCCCATGACTCAAATATTTCCTTCAGTGCCTTCCTCAGGAGCACCATTTACTAAGATAAACAAAGCTCCAAGCAACTCACTGTTTCTGAAATTGATCTGCCATGATTTTCATATACCTGAGAGTGACTGAGTCACTCAGAGTTTTTAACCCTTCACTTAATGCCCCAGGCAAAGAAACATTAGGTGGCATGCTATGTAAATTTAGGGTGCAGGACCTCCACCAACGGCAGTGAAACCTTGGGAAAATCACTAAACTCCTTGGCCTCAGTTTTCAATCTGTAAAATGGAAGGAATTACACTTGCCTCATGAAACTAACAGGCCCTCAATAAATATTTATTGTTTGCATAAATGATAATAAATGTGAGAGTCTTTTATCAGTTGAAAAATAGATCAATACAAATGAAGGGAACTATCTAGGCAGGTAACTAAGGAAAATTTTAACTACTTTGGCTTATTTGCAGTCCTAAAGCAACACAGGGTTTCTGGCGCTCCTAACCAATGATGTGGGAAGTTTCCTTGTGCAGTAAGTAAGAGCGCAGGCTCTCATCAGACTGTCATATTAGGCAGAACTGCATGAAGTAGTCAATATGTTATAGTTTTTAACCTACAGAAAATGGCAATACATATAGTTCATAGATACATATATAGGATTCCATATATTCTTTCTAAATTCTAAGAGCTAAAATAAGTGAAAGAACATTTAATCTTAGTGTGGTGGGGAAGATATTTTTAAATCTGATAATGTTAAGGCTAATGTGTGGATTTAATTAGGAAATGTAGGTAAAGTCCTTAGCCTCATAACCAAATGTTCACCAACATGCTCACCATTCTTATGAAAGGTAGTTTGTGGACTATTCTGGTTTCAGAGCTACTCTGGCATCGAGTGGTTTTAAATGACCACTCACAGTTTACAACTGTAGGTCAATGGGACCTGGCCAAGTTCACAGGAGGAGTTGACAATGCTCCAACAACACTGCCTCAGTACTGGAGTCTCACGTTACTTTAAGGCATAAACAACTAATACCAGTTTGCTGAAGCTCATCTACTATTTCTGCCACAGTGATTTATTATGATTTGGCTCTGTCTTGATATAGTGAATTATACCTCTATGCTCATTCTAGGTCTACACTCACAGAGGGCAGGAACCTTGCTTTTCTGTTGACTGCTGCATTCTTACTCCTTAGTAGAGGTCCTGATACAGACTCAATGTTCAATAAATAATAGCTGAACGAAACAATGAATGCCTTCTTGCCCTTGTGCAATGAAGTCTTGTCATCTGTATCTGGGTGTGATGTTTTCCTAGAGCCATACAGGGAAAGAGTGAAGATGCATGTATCCACAGATGTAAGAAATTAAGAGGACTGTATTTGAAATTTCTGTTTTCTCAGAGAATTACAGTATAAGATGTGACGGTCCTGATCACCCTTTCCATGTTCCTGAGATTACTCCAAATTCAATAGCACGTTAAAAGGATCATACACCATGACCAAGTGAGACTGATTCCTGTAAACAAAGCTTTAGTGATTTTATTCCAATTTGCAGAGTTTCACATCTCCTTAAAAAGAACTGATTGATACTTGTCTTCTAGTGCCCATCTCATGTTTTACCACAGTCAGTTACCGAGGTTTGACCTGGCTTGATATGAAGATATAAACTCCTTGAATGTAGAGACTTTGCATTTCTCATTTGCTCTTATGTACTCTGTGCATGCACAGTACCTGGGACAAGGCTGCTGTTCAATACATTTTGTGTAATAAAAGAAAAAAAATGCCTTCTGGATCCCATGGAAGGAAATCTTTTAGGTATTGTGGGGTATGACGTATCATTGGACTCCAAATGAGACAGACTTGTGATTTATGTATCAACAGGTGTGAGAAATAAACAGAAGTATAGTTAAAAATAATAATTTTCACTTAAAAGGACATTGCTATAATGTTTTGGTTAATTCTAGGTTCTTGACTTTTCCCACTTTCCTTTATCCCCAGTAGAGACATGAACAGCATGAGGAGGGAGAACCAAGACAGTGTGTCTGAGTTCCTCCTCCTGGGGCTCCCCATCCCACCAGAGCAGCAGGGTATACTCTTTGCCCTGTTCCTGGGCATGCACCTGACCACAGTGCTGGGGAACCTCCTCATTATCCTGCTCATCAGGCTTGGACTGTTGCCTCCACACCCCCATGATTTCTTCCTTAGCCTCTTGGCTTTCACGGATATCCTTTTCTCATCTATTGCTGTCCCAAATATTGTTTTGCTTTGTTTTTTATCATTTTATTTATTTATTTTTTCCCCCAAAGCCCCAGTAGATAGTTGCATGTCACAGCTGCAAATCCTTCTAGTTGCTCCACGCGAGACATGGCCCCAGCATGGCGGGAGAAGCGGCGCATGGGTGCACGCCCGGGATCCGACCCCGGACCGCCAGCAGCAGAGCGTGCGCATCTAACTGCTCAGCCACGGGGCTGGCCCTGCTGTCCCAAAATTTTTGATGGACAGGCATACTAATCAAAAGTCCATCCTCTTCACAGGGTGCATTTCACAAGTGTATTTTTTCATATTGTTTGGTTGTCTTGACGATTTCCTTTTTTCAGTGTTGGCATATGACAGGTATGTGGCTATCTGTCACCTACTCCCCTAGACCACCATCATGAGGAAGGAGCTTGTGTCTCATTGCTAGTTGGGTCCTGGTTCTTCTGCTGTGCACATGCCCTGTTGCATTCTCTTCTCTTCGTCCAATTGCCCTTCTTTGCTGCCAATAACATCCCCTACTTCTTCTGTGACCTCACTGCTCTCCTGAAGAGTAGCTGCTCAGACACCTCCCTCAATGAGCTGATCATCTTTACCGAGGGAAGAATGCTTTTCATTCTGCCTTTAACTAGAGTCTTGGTCTGTTATATCCAGATAGAGATGACTGTCCTGAGGGTTCCCTCTACCAAGAGGTTCTTCAAAGCCTTTTCTCCCTGTGGCTCCCATCTCTTTGTGGTGTCCTTCTACTATGGGACTATTGCAGGTGTTTACTTTTTCTCCTCATCATCTATCTCCAATGATAAAGACATAATTACTTCTGTAATGTATATGGTACATTATACCATATGGTATAATGTATATGGTTCAGCCCCCATGCTGAACCCTTTCATTTACAGCTTGAGGAACAGAGATATGAAACATGCTCTAGAAATATTTTTTGATAGGGTTGATTTCTTTAAGTCACAATCACTAAATCTATAGCAATTACACATTCAAATGAATGAGGAAACTATTAAACCTGGACAGACATTCTGAATGTCCAGTTTAATCTGGCTGCACATACAACCCAGGGAGGTTGACCTTTCCCACATCCATCTATGTATCCCTCATGTGCAAGCTTTTATTACCCAGATGGAATTCAATGATTCCACATTTTATTAACAATGATTAGAATATATGATGCTTTATTACAACATGCTCATTGAGGGTGGGGGCAGTGAGGATGTCAATTGACAAGAGTGATGAAGGAAGCTCCTCCAGTCCCACCATCTCCAAGAAAATCCTGCCTTTCTTCTCTTGGCTTCCCAGGGTCAAGGTAAGGAGGCAGTCAAAAGGAGTATCACAGAAAATTTTGCTTACATAAATCGAATTTTCAATTTTTAAAAAGCTAACATACAATAAACTTTCAATGACTTTTAACTTAATTTACTTTAAATTATGGGCTCATATGAGTTTGTCTACCTTTAATAAATATGAAGAAATGATATGATTTTGAAAATGTGCTGTTTTATTCCATATTTTAATTACTTCTAAGAAAGGAATGTGAAGAAACCTTCTGGGGTGCTATAAATGTTCTCTATCTTGGGCACAATTGTGGGTGATGAGTAGAATGTGGTTCTTAGTTACTGAGGCCTACGTAAGATGCTCAGAATATGTAGGAGTGGGAAGAGTAAATGCAACCAAGTTTTTGGGGGAGACCTGAGGATCCAGATTGAGAAATAACTATATCTATACAAATATCACACTCAAAAAACACTAATAATACTGGGAGCTCACTTTTTAACAAGAGCAGCAGTAAAAGATTGAAGGAAATCAAAGGGACAAAGGAGTGACATCTTTAGTAAAGTGGAAAAAAAAGTCTGCCAAACCTAGAATACTACATTAGCAAATATGTCCTTCAAAACTGAAGGTGAAATAAAATTATTTTCAGAAAAACAAAAACTGAAAAGAAAAAATTGCCAGCTGAACTTTACTAATAGAAACAACAAGGAGTATTCTTTAGGCAGAAGGAAAGTGACTATAGGAAAAACTAGAAAATTCAGAGGTATTCATAAGATTCGTAAATATAAAATTGGATATTGACTTAACTAGAAAACACCAAAGAAAACAATATCCTATGGGGATTATCTGAATAATCCTAATGTGACACTTCTGTGAAAATAAATTTGGAAACTCAGTTGAATTAGATAATTTTCCAGGGAAATACATATTAGCAAAGCTGACTCTGTATGATATAAAAAGTCTAAACACTTCAATTTCTGTAGAATAAATGGAGAAAGGTATTAAGCAACTACTGCATAAAATGGAAGCAGGCCCATACGATTTCATGGGGAATTCTACATATGGTTAAAGACCTCATAGTCTGAATGCTACATGAATTGTTCCACAGCATTGAAAATAAAAGAAAACATCTTAATTTGTTTTATGGATGAAACAAATATGACATCGATGTGTAAGCATGATAAAGAAGTACAAAAATAAAATTTCAAGTTGACAGTACATATGACTATTCATGCAAACATAGTCAGTAAAATATCAGCCAATAGAACCCAACACCACATTAGTAAAATAATACATACAACCAAGTGGGATTTTCACAAGAATTTGAAGTTAGTTCATTATTAGAAAATCCTTAATATAATACAACAAATTAATAAATCTTAGGTTAAAAATCATATAACTCTCTCCATAGATGCTGAAAAGGCCTCAACAGAATTTGATAACAATCAAGAAAAAAAAAGAATTGGTGGATCCTCTCTTAATATAATATATATTAAATGAAATATACATTATATATATAAATATATTTTATTATGTACAATGTTATATTATGTATATTATATATAATGAATATATATTTATATGTTGTACATATTTTATGTAAAATAAATTGTATATTATATTATTTATATTATTATACATAATAAAATAATATTCTTTAGTTATAAAGCCAATATGTACTTAATAATAAACCAGTAGAGGCATTTCTATTAAGATAAGGATCAAAACCAGAATCCTCACTAATCAACATTTTGGTGAATATATTCACCAATCAACTAGATTAATGACATCAATTAAAGTCATAATAGTTGGAAAAAAAGAAGTAAAAACTCCTGAGGACTTCCTACCTAATTTTAATACAGGAAAAAAAAAGATATTTTGAAAGCAGAAATTGTATGGAGGTACTGCAACTGCATAGTCAGTTCAAGAAATTGCATGTAGTCATCAGGAGTTAGACATTTGTCAATCCCGCCTCATTTCCCCTGGATCTTTCTTCACCAGTAAACTCACATCTTGACAGACAAAACTGCCTGTTCACCAGTTCCTCCATTTTTAGAATTCAACCTGAACATAAAATGGGTCATACTTAAACAGACCCAGCCATTTCTAATCTCCTTCCAAAAATGGACAGTTGTGTGTCATCTTCACAATGAAATTGATTTTAATTCAATACCCTGGTTTCCTGTTCCTCTGATGAAATCCAATTTGCAGCCTCTCTCTTGTTATCCACCATGTTCCCACAGGACAGTTACTGTTTTAAAATGAAGTTTCACTTTATTTCCATGTTTAGGCCCTCATTCTAAGTTTCTATTTGGAGTACCTTACTGAGTATATTTCTTACCTAGACTCAGTCCTACATTATTATTCAGTTTTCCCTGCAAAAATATTAGCATTTTGTCTTGAGTGCAAGCTCATGCCCTGATCCATTGGGATAAGTCTCCAGGTACAAAGTGTTGGAGAGAGTCTTTTTTTTTTTTTTTTCAACTCTATAACCCTAGTTGTTATGCCACACTGGGCACGGTATTTGTAACAGGATGCCAACTATTTTTCTGAAGTCACATGAGAGATTTAAATCATCTTTGTAGGCCATTCCTGTTGCGGAGGGTTCTCTGCTGCAATGAGGCTGCCTCTCCAACCTGTCAATAACTATTCCTAGGCCTCGGGCCCTTCCTGTCTCTCCATTCTTGTCTTATTTGTGTAAAATTCCTTCAAATCTCCAGACAAGGGATCTAAACTTTTAAACAATATTCCTCCTTAAGATGTTAGGAACTAAAGTCAATTATTTCATACAGGTCCATGATCTAAAGCAATTAGTAGATTCTACTTTTATAATTTATAATTATAGCTCTTATTATTCTCAAGGTGACAATATCTGTTATTTTTTTTGGAATGATCTCCAGGATGTATTGTTAATAGAAGAAAGCAGTGAGTCCAAGTGTACCTGTAACATGCTACCTTTTGTGTAAAAATGAAGGAGAAATAAGAGAGTATACTTGTATCTGCTCATTTGAGCAAAGTATCACAGGAAGAAGTCAGAAACTAATGAGTTTGTTTTTCTAAAAGGGCTGTGTGGGAATGTGTGGGAAGGATGGGGAGATGGGTGTACCTATTTGTGTGTTTTGACCAGGTTATCTTTTGCTTGTTCAAAAGTGGGCAAATAAAAAAGAATGGTAAACAACAAAGAAATCTAATAAAAGCACAACAAGTTGAGCCAGCCCTGGTGGCCTAGTGGTTAAGTTAGGCACACTTCGCTTTGATGACCTGGGTTCGGTTCCCAGGTGCAGACCTACACCACTTGACTGTCAGTGGCCATGCTGTGGTGGTGGCTCACATACAAAAAGAGGAAGATTGGCAGTGGATCTTAGCTCAGGGTAAATCTTGCTCAGGAAAAAAAAATGCAAAGCAAATCAAGTTAACTATATTTCAAATAAATAATATGATTAGAGAGAAGTAGAAATTAAAATAACTAACCCACGTAATTCTTGACTGCAGTATTTTGTCTACAAACCGTTACAGTAAAGAAAAAAACTGTAAAAATATTGAGCTGTTTTAAGCAATTTTGTCATTCATGGTGATATGGGTTCAAGATTCTGAAGTTACTTAGCACCTATTCTAGGATTCAGTGAATAAGTAAATATGTTGTTGAAGAAGGGAATGACCCCTCATGATCAGAGAAAGGTACCACATACAGGGAAAAGGAGAGGCTGGGAAGAACTCTGGTGGCACTGGAATTGGAGACGTCAGTTTGAACTCATGGTTTTTAATACATAAATGAATAAGTTAAAGTTTATGTATTATATATCAATATTTATTCTATTCTCATCCCCCATTCTTTTCACCCTATTCCAAACCCACCTTCTATGAGTAACCATTTCAACTAGTTTCTTGTTTATACTTCCTTCTATGATACATATACACACACATATACATACATACATATATGTATATATGTATGTATATGCCTTGTAAGCGATGAACATATCTAACAAATTTTCTCTCTAAACACCATTCTTCTCTAAAAGGAGCCCAAATGCCTTAGAGCAATGGGTGATTCCAGGGCTGGGGCCAGGAAATACAAAGATGATCTGGGAAAATTTTGCTGACCCTAAAGGAAGGAAGTGTTCTGCAAATAGTGGGGACACAGGAGCCAGCTCAAAGGGGGTCCCGAATACTTAATCTCGAATAACTTGAGTTTCAAAAAGTATAACAATAAACACACGCACACACATAGATAAAGAGAACAGATTGGAAGTTACCAGAGAGGAAGGGGGTGGGAGGAGGGCAAAAGTGGTAAAGGGTCATATATGTATGATGATGGATGGAAACTAGAACATTGGTGGTGAACATGCCGCAGTCTATACAGAAGCTGAAATATAATAATGTGCAGCTGAAATTTATACAATGTTATAAACCAATTTGACCTCAATAAAATAATTTAAAAAAAGAATGATAACTCTAATGGATTATGATTCAGAGATTAAATGAGACTATATGAATCCATAATGATGTAAATAAATTAATGTAAAAAAACAAATGGTAGAGAAGGGAAACTTCTCTCTTACAGAGAACTATTATGTGTACAACGACTGATGGGATGAGAAAAATCACCATTTGGCCACCACAATTACAATAATTGTTTCAGGCAAGAATTACTTCATTCTTATTAAGTATGATGTTATATAAAGTGATTGAAATTTTAAAAAGAAATAGCATGTTTATATAACTGCAAAATATCTACAGGTTATATTTATTAATTTCGAAAATAAAAATAGTAACTTTACAGTAGAGAAACCTTATAGACACCACCTTAATTAATAGACCAATATTCAAAACCCCCAGTAATTGGAAAGATTGATATAAGCTGCCTTCTGATAATGTGCACTGTGTTGTACCTGCCAAAGATCTATAGGCGGAATGTGAGATACGTGTATACCTACATACTAATAAAGCAAAAATGGTTAAATATTAACTTTTGGGGAATCTGGGTCAAATGTATATGAGAATTTTTTGTATTACTTTTACTTTTCTGTAAGTCTGAAATTATTTCAAAATAAAAAGTTAAAAGAAGCCTTTGTCGGTGCCTGCCCAATGATGTAGAGTTTAAGTGGGTGCGCTCCGCTGCAGCGGCCTGGGGTTCAGATCCTGGGCGCGGACCAACGCACCACTTGTCAGGCCATGCTGTGGTGGCGTCCCATATAGAGTGGAGGAAGATGGGCATGGATGTTAGCCCTGGGCTGGTCTTCCTCAGCAAAAAGAGGAGGATTGGCAGATGTTAGCTCAGGGCTGAGCTTCCTCGCACACACAAAAAAAGAATCCTTTGTCCATCATTACTCAATGAGACAGAATAGAATATCCTACAGGTCTAGCTCTAAATTTAAAGTTAGCATCTAGGCAGACAACTATGATCTTCCAAAATATTCTCATTGCAGCCTCTGTCAGAAACAGAATATGAACTGCATTTATTCTCCTGTTTTCCTCCCTACTTGATCATAGGTTGACATGGCTGTTCACAGTTCCTGTCCAGCGGTCCTCTCCTACCCCTATGTGTCCCACTAGGTTCTCATCACCACTCCCTCTCTTTGCACCTGTTTCCCACTGCTGCTAGCCCTGGATGCCTCACCATCCCTTAATAGTTTCCCTTAAACTGGCCAAGACCTTTGTAAACAAGCCATTATTACATCTTTTTTAAAAAGAAAAAGAACTTTGTCCAAGCTGGAATCATGACCAAGAAGAAAAGTATACCTGGCCTCAGAGACTCCATCGCTTGGGAGTCCATTCCCCTCCAGCTTCTGGACACACAGCTCCCCAAAGGGCAGCAATAACTTGGCCAATTAGCCTGCAGTGACTCCTCCCTGACCCAAAAGCCTGGAAACACTGTTTCTCTCCTCTTGATGGTTGTTAAAACATTATCTGTTTGCTCATTGCTCCACAGTTGGTGAAGGAACATGAAAATCTGTAGAAGTGCTGAGGCCACAGATATATCTTCTATTTGTCTGGATTCTGACTCTCCTGAAGATCAGCTGAGGATCTGGGCAACAGTCTGGAGCAGGTTTCTGAGGTCAGCAACAATGAGCACAGATCTGAGGGAGCTGGAAATCTGAACTTGGTGATGGGCATGCCTTGGTGCTGGTGGGTTTGTGTATGAGTATCTCTGTGTTCATGGGTGTTCGTGTGTGTGTATGCTTGTGTTCACGTTGTTTGAGTATTGCATGCATGGGTGTGTGCTATGTATCTGACTCACAGTCTGATTTTTTTCCTGAGTTAGACTCAATCTGGGCTCTGTTTTAGTGCATATAGATCCAGTTATCAGCCTCTTAACATACGATTTAGGGCCTCCTGGTTCATGCCTGTGATCTTAAATATTTGCCTTCTGTTATTATGATGGGACATTTCCCCCACTGGGTGGGTGCCACAGCTGAGCAGATGAGAGCTCAGCATCAGGAGTGAGATTGTTTTCTCTACTGCTGGAGAAGAAGATGTCCAACCTCACCAAAGAAACCAGGTCAGAGGGTTTAAACCTCTACTCAGCAGTGTAGGTTAGTGTAGCTTTGATCTCTGTTTGTGGGTGATACACCCATGTGTGAGAGAAGGAAGGTATATTGTTCCTTTTGTCTGTGTTTATGTTACCATGTACGTGTTACCACGGTCATGGGTTGGTGGTGGTTTAATGACTGTGCCTGTGTGAATAGGCTTCGCTGTCCCATGCTGATCCCTTCCTTGGGAAGGATGTGTGGTCAGAAGGGGCTGAAGCACCATTCTCAGTAACGGAAGTGTGTGTGCTCCTTGTTGTGGTGACTGTGTGGCTGTGTATGCATGTGTATTCTTGACATGCATTTCCTCTGCGATTTTTGCACTCTGTGTGGCCTTGTGTGTTTTGGGTGATGTGTGTGATAGTGATGAGTTATGTATATATGGTGAGTTGAGTGTGTGCGTCAGGTGACCAGGTGTTTTGATGTGCATTGTGAGTTTGTTTGTGGGTGAATGGTACATCATTGTGTGTTGTGTATGTCTCACTTTGGTTTTATTTATGAATTGTGTGTACATGAGTGTTTATGAACTGAACCACATATTGACTGTCCAACCCTTAGGATGGGAACTGGTCACAGGCGGCTTGGATCCACAATCAGCGATGTGTGTGTGATTTGTATGTGTTTTGGGGACTTTTGATTTTCCCCCACTACTCAAATATTTCCTTTAGTACCTTCCTCTGGAGCACCGTTGACTGAAATAACCAAAGTGGCAAGCAAATCCCTGTTTCTGAAAGGGAAATAGTGATTATCATATATCTGAGTGTGACTGTGTCACTCAGAGTGTTTTAACCCTTCACTTAATATCCCAGGAAAAGACACATTAGCATCCTGCTGTGTGAAGTTAGAGTGCAGAACCCCTATCAAATGGTGGCAAGAATTTGGGAAACTTACTTAAATCTTTGGCCTCAGTTTTCAATCTATAAAATGGAAGTCATTATACTTGCTTCATGAAACTTACAGGACCTCATTAAATATTTACTGTTTGAATAAATGATAATGAATGTGAGAGTCCTTTGTCAATTGGAAAATAGATCAGTATAAATGAAGGGAACTACCTGGGCAGGAAACTGAGAAGATTTTGATCTACTTTGGCTTCTTTGTAGCCCTAAATCAACACAGGGTGTCTGGTGCTCCTGACCAAAGATGTAGGAAGTTTCTACGTGTAGTGGTTAAGAGATGGATCTGATCACACAAACATATTAGATAGAACTTCATGAAGTAGTCAATATATTATAATTTTTAACCTAAAAAATGGAAATATTATAGTTTATATATATATATATATAAAATTTATATCATTTCTGTTTCTATATCTTCTAAGAGCTGAAATGGTAAAAGCACATACATTTTTAGTGCTTCTGAAAGTATTTTTTTAATCTGGGAATGTAAGTCTGATGTGTGGATTTAATTAGGAAATGTAGGTAAAGTTTGTAGCCTAGTACCCAAATGTTCATCAAAATGTTCACCCTTCTTAAAAAAGAGAGTTTGTGGACTATTCTGGTTTTAAATGACCATCCACTTCTCAAGTGACCACTAGTTTATTGCCTTAGGTCAATGGAACCCAGCGAGGTTCACAGGAGGAATGTGACAATACTCCAACAAGACCTCCTCAATATTGGGGTCTCACGTTACTTTAAGGCAAAAACAAGTGATACCAGTTTGCTGAGGCTCATCTTCTAATTTTGTCACAGTGAATTATTATGATTTGGCTCTGTCTTGGTGTAGTGAATTATCTCTCTATTCTTATCAAGATCTACACTCACAAAGGGCAGGAACCTTGCCTTTCTTTTTCACTGCTGCAATTGCAGTCCTTAGTAGAAGTTCATGTTCAGACTCAGTGTTCAATAAATAATGGTTGAATAAAACGATGAACACTTTCTTGCTTCTGTGCAATAAGGTCTTGTTGCCTTCTTTTGGATGTGATGGTTTACAGGAGCCAGACTGGGATAGAGTGAAGATACACACATCCACATATATGAGAAATTAATGAGTGTAATTAAAAATTCATTGATTTCCCAGAGAATTACAAGATGAGATGTGATGGTCCTGATAATCTTTTCTAAGTTCCTGAGATTCCCAAACCTTCTTCATCCCCAGCATATAGAAGAGCACTATGAAGACTGAGAACCAGAGCAGCATGTCGGAGTTCCTCCTCCTTGGGCTCTCCTTCTCGCTGGAGCGGGAGGTCTTATTCTTCACCTTGTTCCTAGGGATGTACCTGACCACAGTGCTGGGGAACCTGCTCATCATCCTTCTCATCAGGCTGGACTCTCGCCTCCACACCCCCATGTACTTCTTCCTTAGCCACTTGGCCTTCTCTGACATTTCCCTTTCATCTGTCACAATTCCAAAGATGCTCATGAACATGCAGACTCAGCAACAATCCATCCCCTATGTGGGGTGCATTTCTCAGATGTGTTTTTTCTTAGTTTTTGCTTGTCTTGATAATTTCCTTCTCGCAGCGATGGCATATGACAGGTATGTGGCCATCTGTCACCCACTCCACTACACAACTGTTATGAGGCAGGAGTTGTGTGTCTCCTTAGTAGCTGGGTCTTGGTTATTCTGTTGTGCACATGCTCTTTTGCACACCATCCTCTTGGTCCAACTGTCCTTCTGTGTTGACAATACCATCCCCCACTTCTACTGTGACCTCACTGCCCTCCTAAAGATGAGCTGCTCAGACATCTCCGTTAATGAGATGGTCATTTTCACTGAGGGAGGAATGCTTTTCTTTTTGCCTTTGAGTAGCATCTTGGGGTCATATATCCGGATAGGGTCCACTGTCCTGAGAGTCCCCTCCACCAAGAGACTCTTTAAAGTCTTTTCAACCTGTGGCTCCCATCTCTTTGTGGTGTCCTTATACTACGGGACACTTGCAGGTGTTTACTTTTTCTCATCATCACGGAGCTCCAATGACAAAGACATAATTGCTTCAGTCATGTATGCAGTAGTTACTCCCATGTTGAACCCCTTCATATATAGCCTGAGGAACAGAGACATAAAACAGGCCCTATTAATATTTGTCAATAGGGCTAAGTTCTTTAAGTGACAATCACTAAATCCTCTTAGTGCAGTCATGAGCACAGTGAGATATACCTCCTAAAATTATTGTGTGTTTGACAACTCCCTATAACTTTAGAAGAATATGCACTCGTCTGTAACATATAGTGTTGCTACCATGTTACCTAGGTCCAGTTTGCTACTTGGATTGCTAAATGTTCTTTATTCCTAATTATTTTTTTCTGCTTACTCTCATCATCTCTTATAAGATATGTACAAATTATTGTGCAAAACATGACACACAATTATAATTGTGGAGCTGCCTTTTTCTCCTTTTAGATATAACAGTTTTTGCTTTACATTTTTTATGCTAGATCATTGAGGACACACAGTTTTAACATCATGATCTGCTCCTGACGGACTGATTCTTTATATAGTGGTGTGCTGAATTTGACCTTCATTGGCTTCAAGCTGATTGTGCATATTTCTCTCCAACTCCAAATTCAGTGACATTATGTTGGGAGACTGAAATCAGCCATAATGCGAATAATGACACTATGGAAATTAGAAAACACACAGATCAAGGCTTTCTAAAAAAGAGAGAGAAAGAAAGTCATTTTTTGTGCATTTAACAGCACACCATTGCGTTTATAATTAGGAGATATTCCTCTTTATCTCTACAGTGACTCCTACTTTAACATCTCCTATACTTCTTCTGATATTATATGGGTATACCACCTTGCTTTTGGTTAGTGTTTTCATAGTATTTCTTTTCCATCACTTTATTTTAAACTTTTCTATATCCTTATGTCTGTGATATGTCCATTGTTAACAGTGTAAAGTTGGATTTTGCTCTTTTTATGCAAATTGGCAATCATTATATTTCTGGAGAATTTGATCTGTTAACACCTAATGTCATCATGATATATTTTAATTAATATTTCCACATTACCATATCTTTTCTGTTTGAGACCTCTGTTTCATAATGCTTTTCTCTGTTTCCCATTTTATTAAGTGTTTATTTTGTTATTCCATTCTCCATCTATTAACTTATTAATCATACATTATTATTTTATAATTATCTTCTATGCTTTATGTTGATATTACTTCTTACTTTCTCTTTAAAATATTTTCCTTTTAGTATAATATACATAACATGAAGTTTACCATTTTGACCATTTGAGGCATACAATTCAGTGGCATATACATTCATCACCACTATCTCATTCTAGGACTCCAAAAGGAAATTCTATGGAACAACAATGCAATTGAGTACTTTTCAGCTGTGAAAAAATAATGACAAAGATATCTATTAATCAATACAGAGAAATTTCCAGCATATATGGTTAAATGGAAAAAAAAATGTGTAAAAAAAGCACCTATACCATGCTACTTTTTGTGGGAAAGTGAAGGGGAAATAAAATATACATTTATCTGCCCATTTGAGCAAAAAGCAACACAAAAAGAATAAGTCAGAAACTAATGAGATTGCTTACCTACAGTAGGTGGGTGGGAATGGGGTAGAAAAGGCGGAGTGGGTGGGAATGGGGTAGAAATGGTGAAGAGATGAATATATTTATTCATACAGTTTTGACCATGTTATGTTTTACCTACAAAAAAGTAAATAGAAGAGGGTGAGGAATAAAGCAAAATAGAATAAAAGAAAACAAATGAACCTAACTATGTTTCAAATTACTACCATAATTAGAGTAAAGGGGAGCATAACATAAGTAACCTAAGTAATTGTTGAATGCAGAATTTTGAATATATTCTCTAATAATAAAGAAAAATTGTAAACAAAGTTTTTGAACTGAAGTTAGTTTTTTCTTAAGAGTGGTATGAATTCAAGATTCTGAAATTAGTTAACATATATTCAAAGATTCAGCAAGTAAGTAAACATGTTGTGGAAAGGAAATGATGGCTCACTATCAAGGTATTGATGCAAATAATCAATAATCATTCTATTGTAAAGAAAAGAAGAGAGTTTTATCAGAGCCAAACTGAGGAATATAGCCAGAAAGTCGCATCCTTCAAGGGCAGAAAGCTCTCTGGATAAGAGTGATTTTCAGGTCAGTTATATACCATTTTAAAACAAAGACATGTACATCAAGCATGACAGGGGTACATTCCTTCAAGTGTTCAAGAAGAATATCCTTACAGATTATTGTGTACACAGCAGGTCAAGATGGCCCTTGTGTCACAGGAAGGGAGACATTAATTCCTATTTTTTAAAGAGTACTGGCATCATAAGAAGGGATGTAGTGATTCTTACCTTCAAACAGTACATTTTTAAATTTAGAGTAATGATTAAAGCAGATAACAGTGTATATTTGACAGGCTGCAAGTCAGGCTTCTTCATTTCAAATAAAATTCAGGCCAAAACAAGTTCAAACAAGAATGGCTTCCCCATATACTTTAATTTATAAATATTTTATTATCATTTTCCTCTTTTGATTTTTAATCTTTTGATAGAAAGCATTGATGATCAAATATTGTCCCTCAATGCCAAATTGGTTACTTCTTGTCCTGGGTCCATCGGGTCCCTCGAACTGGGCTTTATTTCAGTTGACCTACCCAGTAACATTCTCTGGATAAATACCCAGCAGTGGAATAGCTGGATCGTATGGTAGTTCTGTCTTAATTTTTCAGGAATCTCCATACTGTTTTCTGCACTGGCTGCACCAGTTTGCACTCCCACCAGCACTGTATGAGAGTTCCCTTCTCTCCACATCCTCTCCAACACTTGTTATTTCCTTTCTTATTAATTATAGTCGTTCTGATGGGCCTGAGATGATATCTCATTGTAGTTTTGATTTGCGTTTCCCTAATAATTAGTGATGTTGAACATCTTTTCACGTGCCTATTGGCCATCTGTATATCTTCTTTGGAGAAATATCTATTCACATAGTTTGCCCATTTTTTAATTGGGTAGTTTTTTTTTGTTCTTGAGATGTATGAGTTCTTTATATATTTTGGAGATTAAGCCCTTTAGCAGACATATGTTTTGCAAATATCTTCTTCATATTGTTAGGTTGTCTTATTGTTTTGTTGATGGTTTCCTTTACTGTGCATAATCTTTTTAGTTTGATGTAGTCCCATTTGTTTGTTTTTTCTATTGTTTCCCTTGCCCGGTCAGAGATGGTACTTGAAAATATGCTGCTACCAATGTTGAAGCAATGTAGGTGACCATCAAGGGATGAATGTATAAAGAAGATGTGGTGTATAAACACATAGGAATACTACTCAGCCATAAAAAAGGATGAAATCTGGCCATCTGTGACAACATGGGTGGACTTGAGGGTATTATGCTTAGTGAAATAAGTAAGAGAGAGAAAGTCAAATACTGTATGATCTCACTTATAAATAGAAGATAAAAACAACAACAAGCAAACACATAGAGACAGAGATTAGATTAGTGGTTACCACAGGGGAAGGGGGAGGGAGGAGAGTGAAAGAGGTGATTAGGTACAAGTGCATGGTGATGGATTGTAATTAGTTTGTGGGTACTGAACATGATGTAACCTATACAGAAATTGAAATATATGATGTACACCCAAAATTTATATAACATTATAAACCAATGTTACTACAGTAAAAACACGAAGGAATCTGCAAACCCTTGTCTACATGTGGCTCCCACCTCTTTGTAGTGCTTTTAAACTGTAGAACTATTGCAGATGTTTTCTTTTTCTCATCTTCATGCAACTCCAAAGACAAGGACATAAATGCTTCTGTGATGTGCACTGTTGTCACCCCCAGGCTTTCATCCAGAACCTGAGGAATAAGAATGTGAAACGTATTCTACAGAACATGTTCGGGACCAAGGACACTCCTTGGTATCATTAATTCAATCTCACTGTCATGGGCATATATGCAGACTGTGTCTCCTTCAGCAGTTGTAACTTGGCCAGCTCTTACTAACAACCCTTTAACTATTAGCCACTCCTCTCTTGCCCTCATTTTATGTTTCCTCTCATCTTTATGCTCATCAGGTTGTTCTTTTTTCGATACCTGCTCTCTGAACTCTGTGTATTAATGCTCTGCAGTGAAACTACAAGCCCTCCTATAGCCTGATGATGTTCACTGCAAGCTTGCAAGACTTTGGAGCCACTTCCCTGGGCTCTAAGTACACCTGAAATTTTTACAATGTTATAAACCAATGTTACTGCAATAAACAAAAAATTAAAAAAAAAAAAAAAAAAAAAAAAAAGAAGTATTGGATCTCCATTTTTTCTTTATAACCCTCTCTATCTGCTACTCATACCAACACATACTAAAATGAATTTTCATAGTACCACTCAAATTCGTTTATTTTCATGTGCGAGAAATTCAGACATTACCAAACTGTAAAATCTGTGAAAGAATTGAGTAACTATCACAGCTGGCATTCATTAAGCATTTAAATGTATATTTATTACTCCTCTGCACAATCTTGTTATAAGGGTGTTAATATTTTTCATATTTACAGAGAATCAAACTAAAGCCCAGGGAGTTCTATTAGGTAGCTCCCTCAAGACCTAAGCTCAGAAATGCATGACTTCAAAAAACCATGTGTTTAACCATATTACTTGATTGCCATTATCCTGATTTCAAATACAATTGACCAGTTTGGCTGTTTTATATAAAAGCATAGAGTATGTCCTCTTTATTGTTTCTACTTTTGTTTTGCTCTACATAGTTATAGTTAACTTTTCTCATGGCTTTATAGCTTTTGATTGTATCTATATTATTTAACCTATTCATAAGTTCTAGTTTTGATTGACATTTGGGCTTTCCCTGTTTGGGGTTTGTACATATACCTAGTGATGGAATTTTTGGATGAAAATTTATGTATATTTCAATTAATTAATATATATAATTTTTTAAAAGTTAGACAAAGTGCATGTATGAGTTTACACTCCTCTCTGTAATGTATAAAAAGGTGTGGTCCACTTACTCATCAACATTTATACTGTCCATCTTTTCCACTATACACCTTCTTATTAGCTTGTAGAAGTACCATGTTGATGTTTTAATTTGCATTTGTCTGATAACTCATGTAGTTTATCT